TTAGAGAGGACACCATGGTGGGCTTCCACTTGGCAGTGATTATAAGTAAAAGTTGTGATAAATATTTACATATATATTTTTCAGAGAAAATTATTTTTTGTTGTTATATTTTTTATTTATAGGACAATATGCAAGATGTGGATGAGCAAATTAATGAGATTTTAATTGTATTAAATTTTATTTTTTATTTCAAAAATGCGGGGTACAATTCAGGGTTAGCTATAAAAATTTTCATTATGCAAGTCCCATTGTTGATGGTAACTTTATAAACACTTTATTCCAAACTAGATTGCCTCTTGGGGTAGAGGTCTTGTGTTAATTTTCTGAGCATAAACAGAACACTTTTCTTAAGAGTAACGTTGGTGAGATGGTGGAGTAGGAGGTTCCAGCTCTTGCTCTCTTACAGAAGAAAGTCCAAAAGTAACAACTATGCATGAACAAAAATACCCTAACAAAAGTGTCCACATGCAGAAAAGAGTTTAAAGTACCCAGATGCAGGACAGAAACAGAAAAAAAGACATGCTGAAGGGGGTAGGAAGGATTTTTGCATCTATGCTAATCAGGGATATTTTTCTCTATTTTTTATTATTATTTGGTTATTGCTTCTGTTGTTGTTGTTAGGTCGTTGCCTGGCTTTAGTATCAGGGTAATGTTGGTCTCAAGAAAAAAAAAGGTTGAAATTCATCTCTCCACTTCAGCTTTTTAAATATTTTCATAATTGCGTTAGTTCTTTAAGTATTGGCAGAATTTATCATTGAAGCCATCAGATTCTGTGCTAATATTTAATGGGAGACTGTTTATTACTGATTCAATCTTTCAGTCATTACCTTTTTGCTCAGAACTTTTATTTCTTCCTGATTCAGTCTTGGTAAATTACATGATTCTAGAAATTTATACATATGGAATTTATGGCATCTAGTAGTCTCTTATGGTCCTTTGTAATTCTGTGTTACTCGTAATTCTCTTATTTCAATTCTGATGTTGCTAATTTGAAACTTTTTTGTTATTCTAGCTAAAGTTTGACAATTTATTTATGTTTAAAATACATTTTAAAATTTTATTTATTTTTATTTTTATACAGTCTCTATTTTGTTTGTTTCTAATTTTTCTCTGTTATTTTCTTCCTTCTACTACGTATGAGCTTACTTTTTAAAGTTCCTTCTGGTTTAACGTTAGTTTTTTTATTTGTAATCTCACATTATGTCTAAACAGTAGTTGGTTGAAATAAATGAATATTTACATACATATACTCTGAAGTTGAGGATAAAATGAATATTTAAATATATGATAGGTAAAGAATCAAATTAAGACAATACTAAATGTTATTTTAACAGAAACCACTGTCATTTTAGAAATATTTACACAGCTTGACAGGAGTAAACAACACATGAATACAATAAAGAACAAATTAAAAATTAAAAAATTGTGAAATAAAATAATAAAAAAGACTAATAATCCAACCTCACCACGACACAATATATTCTTATAATAAAACTGCACTTATACTACTATGTCTATATTAAAAATGCTTTAATGAACAAAAAGAAGAAAAGAAGGAGACAGGGAAGGAAGACAGAAAAAGCTGAATTGTTTGGGATTTCTAGTTACATATGTGTTGCATATAAGAGGTGCATGTAAGGAAAACTTTTGCTGCTAATGGTGTAATATACACCATGGACTAACTTGCAGATTACAGATTTCACAAAGCTACAAAAAGTCTAAATGCCTCCAGGGTGTGGGTCCACTGCCAGATGCAGAAGGCTTGTGACTCTTAGTTGTTGTTCTCTCATTATCTCTCATCTGAGGTCCCACCCATGAATGAACAAGTCCTTGGGGAGAGTATCTCTGGAAGCTCTACTCTGCACCTGCACAGCGGAGGGTTTTAGACACCCTCAGCACTGTTTTCTCTCTGTGTGTCTCTTGCACAGTAATACATGGCAGTGTCTGAGATCTTCAGGCTGCGCCACTGTAAGTAGGCAGTGCTGACAGAGCTGTCGGCAGAGATGGTGACCTGACCTTGAAAAGACGGGCTATAGTGGGTTTCTGAATCACCAGGATCGATACTCCCCATCCACTCCAGGCCTTTCCCAGACATCTGGCGAATCCAGCTGATCCAGTTGCTAGTAAAGCTGTATCCAGAAGTCTTACAAGAGATCTTCAGAGACTCTCCGGGCCTCTTTACCTCTGCCTTGGACTGCACCAGCTGCACTTGCGCACAGACATCTGTGTGGGAGACACAGGACTGAAATCAGGGGCTCTCCTGTCAATCCCCAACTGTGACCCACATCCAGGACATGACTAACCTGGGAGAACAGCCAGCAGGATTGTGAGGAGGGTGACAGGTCCCATCCTAGAGGAGGACAGAAAGTGAGGCACTGAGGACACCAGCTGGGTAGTGAGGGAAACTCCTGGTTGAGGGTAGCCTTGAGCTTTAATGGAAAGTCTCACTCTTAAGTTTGCATAGTTACCGCCCTGCTCTGCATGGGATGCACCACAGGACACATAACACAGAAACCCAGTAGCAAGTTGCTGACTGACCCAACATCTTTTGGGAGGGGTAGGATAAAGTTTTTAAAATGTCACCTTCTCCCATTCCCACCCCATCTCCACTTTTTAGTTAAATCACTATAGGACCAGATCAAGGATTGTGACCCTGAAAAAAAGTTGTCAGAATGTACAAGGAGTCAATTGTGTTTAAATCAAACTTACAAAATCTGATTAATAGAGCTGGGAATGACAATGATTACAGAATTCTCATATACATGTCTGATGACAAGAACTATCACAAAAACCTACAAATTACCCTTGGCATTTTCCCCTTGAATGTGATTATGGCCTGTTCAGCCAGCTGGGGTTAAGACAATTTACCCCAGATGGCAACAAATCTCATCTTGATTAATTTGCCAGATCTTTATCCTTGTATGTTCAAAATAAACAAATTAATGACCATTTTGCTATTTGGATTTCTACATTCCTCCAAAAGAAAATGAATAGGCAATATTTTTTGGTCTCAGAAATGCTAGAGGACTAAGAAGATCACCAATGCTCCAATCCACTGCTGATATTGCTGTTATAGGACCTTTGTGTCCCCTTCATTACCTCCTTCAGTACCATTACTTAATACCCATTTAAAGATGTCAATATCACTGGGTAAGCCCTGTTCTATTCCCTTTTTATTTTATTTTATTATTATTATTATTTTTTTGAGTTGGAGTCTCACTCTGTCACCCAGACTGGAGTGCAGTGGCATGCTCCCGGCAACCGCAGCCTCAACCTGCTGGTCTCCAGCAATCCTTCTGCCTCAGTCTTCCACGTAGCTGGAACTACAGGCATGCGCTACCATGCTCGGCTTATTTTTGATTTTATTGTAGAAACGAGGTCTCGCCAAGTTGCCCAGGTGGGTCTCAAAACCTCAGGATGAGGCAATCCACATACCTCAGCCTCCCAAAGCACTGGGATTACAGGTTGAGCCACTGAGCCCAGTTTAGTCTATTCCCTTTATTACAGCACATTCCATAACCTGGATAGGGTACATATTAGGTAATGACCATAGTCATCATCATAAAGCCAAATGAAGCAGGACCTGGTTGTAAACCACCAACATCTTCATCAGGAAAGTGCACTTTCTGTATCAAAGACAAAAAGGAAACCTCCCCTCTCAA